GTGTAGCTAGCAATGTCCTCCTTAAAATCTGTTAGCAGTTGTTTTAAATATTTAGCTGTTCCCTCATTAGGTGCGTATACATTTAAGAGTGTGATTTCTTCCTGTTGTACGTATCCCTTGATGAAAAGAAAATAGCCTTCACTGTCCCTTCGAATCTTTTTCAAGGTGAAATTAATGTTGTCAGATACTAGTATGGCCACCCCAGCTTTTTTGCAGGAGCTGTTTGCTTGCAGCATTGTTTTCCATCCTTTGACTTTGAGTCTGTGTTTGCTCTGAGTTTCTTGTAGGCAGCAGAATGTTGGGTTCTGTCTCTGTATCCATTTTGCCACTCTGTGTCTCTTAAGTGGTGAATTTAGACCATTGACATTGAGAGAGAGTATGGGTATGGGGTTTTGTGTCATCTTTCTATAAGGGTGTGTTGCGGTTGTAGGGTTTGTCTTGTCTTATAGTAGCCCCTTTAGGCCTTGTTTTAGGTTTGGTTTTAAATCTATGAAGTTCTGGAGCTGCTGTTTATCTGGAAAATAGTGTACCGTTCCTTCAATTTGGATTGAGAGTTTAGCCGGATAGAGTATTCTTGGTGAAGCATTCATTTCATTGAGTTTTTTTTACTATATCTCGCCGCTGCCTTTGGGTTTGGAGGGTTTCCTCTGATAGGTCTGCTGTGAATCTCAGGGGTGCTCCTTTGTATGTGATTTCCTTTTTTGCCCTTGCTGCTTGCAGTATTGTGTCTATATCGGCAGCAACGATCATTCTAACTATAATATGTCTTGGAGTGTTTTTGTTAGGGTCTCTTTTAGCTGGCACCCTTCGGGCTTCTTGAATCTGAATGGCTGTATTATGGAGCTCTGGGAATTTCTCGGCAGTGATTTGTTTAAGCATGGTTTTTTCATCGGAATTGTTTCCCTGAGCTTCTGGTAGTCCAATGATTCTAATGTTGTTTCTTTTGGAATCGTCTCGTAGGACTCTGATTCTCTGTAGAGCTATTTTGAGGTCCTTTGCCACTGTTTGTTGTTGCGTGTTGGCTTGGTGCAGCTGATCTTCCAGCTCACTGATTCTTTCCTCAGCTGTGGTCATTCTTTTTTTGAGGGCACAGACTGAGTTTTTTATTTGATCTATGGAATCTCTGATCCGTGCCCTTTCTGTGTGAAGCTTTCCAATTTCCGCTCTCATTTCTTGCTGTATTTTGTTGATTGTGAGATTGATTGTTTCTTTCATGTCCTCTTTCAATTTAGTGGATATCTGTCCGACTGTTTCATTGAGTCCATTGAACATCTTAATGACTTCATATCTGAATTCCTTGTCAAGGAGGTTCCTAAGGTGGATAGCACCTACTGAGGCTTCTGGACTTGTTTCCTCATTGTCTCCCTGTGGCGAGGATTTGCGTTGTTTCTTCATGTTGGTGTGTAAGTGTAGGGCTTAGATTTCTTGGTTTGAGTAAACTATTTGTGGCCCCAAATTAGGCCATGCCCACTTTTTAAAAGCCACGGCCACTTCTAAAGTGGCACACCCCCACGGATACCTGGTGTGTGTCTGTAGAGTAAAGACTGGGTGGGGAGAAGAGACCAGCTCGGCTAGGGCGGTGGAAAGGGAGAGGCAGAGAGGCTCAGATCTGCTTTGTCTCCGAGCATCCGAGGGACGCCTGGGGACTTGCACACTGGGGAACACCTGGGGGCTTGCACCAATAGTTTATTACTTTAAGACAATAATCTTTTGATAATTGTCACAGAAGTATTATGACACCAATATATTCTGATCAGAAATTTAAAAATATAAATCTTAGGGACTTGAAACCATGGTCAGCTTCCAATAAATCTCCACATGTATTTTAGGATTTCCACCTTCCTCACAGTACTCTGGCTTAGGACAGACACCACTAGGAGCATCATCTGGGTAAGAGAAGGATGGATTTACTGAGGCCCTGGCAGGTTAGGGATATCCCATTAGCACCACCGTCCCTCTGCTCACACTCATTGATCAGAAAAGTCTGATGGTTCATCAAAATGCAGAGAAGAAAAAGTCCAACACTCCCTGGGGCAGACAGTGGAGGAACAGGGGAGAAGTTAATTCCAGACATTCCAGGGAAAGCTCCTAAACTACCCTCTGTGTCAGGCCCTTAAGCTCCTGGTTCCTAGATTGCTCCTTTGCATCACACTCACACTCGGAGGTTCATGGTGGAGCAACATAAGATTCACATGATATGCTGAACTCACCACGCTGAACACTCGTTCACTGGTGTAGGTGGCTGACAGAGAGTTGGGAAAACCTACTGACTAACAAGGATGAGTGAAGAGCTGCTTGCCTTTCCCTCAGGAGTGGCCGGGAAGGAAGTGGAGTTGCGGGTGATCCAGCCTGACAAGTTGGTGTCAGTGGCCGCAGGAGAGACGGCCACTCTGCGCTGCTCTGTGACCTCCCTGCTTCCAGTGGGCCGTATCAAGTGGTTCCGGGAGAGACTGGGTGTCCGGGAGGAGATCTACAACTACGGAGTAAAAGAACACAATCCTCGAGTGACCAATGCTTCAGATTCCACCAAGAGAGACAACTTAGACTTTTCCATTCGCATCCGTGACATCAGCCCGGCTGACACGGGCACCTACTACTGTGTGAAGTTCCGGAAGGGGAATGTGGAAGATGTGGAGTTCATGTCTGGGCCAGGCACCCAGGTCACTGTGAGTGGTGAGTGCTCTTGGGGGGTCCCTTGTCCTGTTGTGTGACCACGGTCAGTCAGGCCGGCCTTGCTCCTGAGAGCAAGAACTAAGGCCAGGTGAGGAGCTGATGCTTGTCCTTGGATCGGCTTCACAGTCCATTTCACCTGCCTTTGGAGATCAAAGATGTTGGAGTCACAGAGTCCTGCAGTTCGCCCCTGAGGAGAACACTCTGAGGGCTGTTCTCAATATGGAGCATCTTCTCTTTCCTCAGTACCCACTGTGTTCCCAGTCCTTTTCTGGGCACAGTGGATAAGGGGGTCATCGTAATGACCAGATTCCAAAATCTCTGAATCCTATTCCCTCTAACAAGGTGCCAGCAATAGGGCTGCATTTGGTTTTGTTTGAGAAACATCACTGACAAAAGGTGATAAGAAGCACTCATTCTGTTCAGTCTGACAGTCTAACAATCACCAGGACTGCCCACTTTACAGTGGTTCAGAGACTCACCAGTCACTGAAAGCTCTGAGCAGAGCAGGTGACCTTGAAAAGTCTCAGCCAGGGAAAATTTCTTAGGTGACAAAGGACTGCTTGATGAGATGATGGGAAGTTATGAGACAATCTTTAGAGGATCAGTCCTTTCATCTCTAAAATGGCAATAGTGACCAACTCCATTTAGGAGAGTTGAAAGGATCTGAGATGCCATTGCTCAGAAGTACAGAGTAGACCACAAACCAGGGACTAGACCAAAGGTCTGTGAACCAGCTTCCTCCCACACATCAGTCTCCTTACACAGAGAAGTTGACTAATCCACCAATATTTGTGGGAAGATGTGAGATGCAATAAGTATGGTGAGAAAACAGATGGATGTTGGGAAATAAGGGTTAAGTTAGACAGGATGAGAAAGGAACCTTAGGGGTCAGAAAAATGGTACCTTGTGGTAAGAACGCTGGTGCCAACTTAGGTGGAACAGCACTGAGGCATGGTCCTGTATGTGCACCTTCTTGGCCTGACTGCCTTGGTATGAAAAAACAGACCCATAGAGAGAGTCCACAAGAAAGGTATTCACCCTGAATTGCACCAGGCATGATGTTTAGCTTAGAACTAACTTAGTTTAGAGCAGCTCTTCTGAGAGCAGTTGTGCTCATAATCAAAGCATCCTGTCCCCATGCTAAGAATGTTGTCCTCCAGTTCTGGTTTCTTAGTGTAAGGCAATAAATGTGATCCACAGGGGGAAAAATGGGGCTAACAGTCTGACAGAGCTTAACCACCTGACCCAAATCGACTCTCATTTCTGTCTTGTTACTTAATCCTTGGCAACACCCTCTACATGGGACTGGTCCTCAGCAGATGAGCAGTGGTGCTGTCATCCCAAAGCTGTGAACATCTCAGTGTCTGGAATCCTCAGTTTCCCCCTCAGTGAAGTGGTGGTTTTAGTTCAGGTCTGTGAGGTATAGAGATGGCTACAAAGTCCTGTGGAAGCATCACTAACATCACTGAGCCCCAGGGGAGAGCCTGGTGAACTGCCTGCCTGGGTTCATGTCCCTGCTCTGCCTCCTTTTCTCTGTGACCTCTGGCCTATCACTCCACATGGGGTCAGGGTTCTCTATATTTTTTTCTTTTTAGAGGGCAGGAGAAAAAGAAGTAGGGAGGAAGGGTGGAGGGAGGGAGGGAGGGAAGGTGTCTGTTGAGGTTCACAACTGGGGCAAGATATAGGGATCTGGTGTCTGTGAAGAGAGGTCAGAGAGGGCAGAAGTGGCTGCAGTGTTGAGACTGGGAATAAGAAGAGGGAGGAAGGCCAGAGGGTGGCAGGACTCCAGAAGTCTCAGTAAGAAGTGTAGTCCACACAGTGCCAGCTCCCTACGGGGGAGCCGATGGACTGCTGGGATTGCTGGAGCTGGAGATGTGGAGAAGTGGAGGAGGCCGTTCAGAAACCTGGGGCAGCCTGAGATACGGCTGCGGGACCTTGTGTAAAGGCGGAGACCCTCGACTGTGGCTGTGCAACTCTGCAGTCTATAACGGGAACCGTTTTGTAGCCCTCGCAGCATTGTGCTCAGGGTCCCACAGAGATGAAGAGCGCGATGAACACTGCTGAGAACTGACAGAACACCGGAAGCTGGGAGGACGGATTGACGTTCCGTCTGTGGGTGACAGGAACAGTGCCAGGGTCCTCTTTTGTCAGCAGTACTCCCTCCTCACTCCACAAAAGCGTGCACCGGGAAGTGACCACTGGGAAGTGCTCCAGCTCTGTGAGATGAGGGAGGTTACTACCTGTAAGCCAGGATGTGCTAAAGACAGTGCTTGTCCTTGGTGCCACACTCTCCCTGTGCTCACTGTGTCCAAACACTTCTCTTGTAGCCAGACCTTCTCCTCCTGAGGTCTCAGGCCCCAAGACGAGGACCCTGCCCGGGCACACAGTGAGCTTCACTTGCAAGTCCCACGGCTTCTCCCCCAGAAACATCAGCCTGCGGTGGTTCAAAAACGGGAAGGTACTCTCGGCCTTCCAGACCAGCGTGGACCCCCAGGGGGACAGCACCTCCTACAGCATCTCCAGCACAGCCAGGGTGCCGCTGACCTCGGGGGACGTGCACTCCCAGATCATCTGTGAGGTCACCCACATCACCCTGCCCAGGGGCTCTCCTCTCCGTGGGACGGCCAACTTAGCTGAGAGCATCCGAGGTAGACACCCTCACCCCAGCCCCCACGTCTCATGTCCCATTCCTGCCCCGCTGAGATTGCTCTACTGTTCTGGAATCTAATTCCCTTCCGCCCGTCCCGATTGCCAGCATGCTGGATGTGCCCGTCACACACGCCTCTTCCCATGGAAAACCTACCTACCTGTATTCTCACACTGTACAGAATGTCATTTATTTTTATAAAAACAGCTCAAATTCCTAATTACCTAATATCAACCACCCTCATGTGCATTCTTTATTTCACTTTTTGGTGGTAGTTATTATGTTCACACTGCAGAGTAGGGGCTTTGCTCATTAAATTTTTCTCCCCTAATAGAAGCTTTGCCTGACACCTACTTTGTGTGAGATACTGTGCTATTGGTTTTATTCTTGTGCAAAGAGCTCTCTCAGTATGGAAGCTCCTAGCTAGCTCTGTGTGCCTGGGGCTGTTGAGGTGAATCTGCTGTGTGTTGGGATCTAACTGCTGGATCCCAGCTTCTGTGACCTGTCTTTCCCTGGAGATCAGAGCTTCTGTCCTGGGATTTTTCAGTTTCACCCACCCTGGAAGTCTCCCAGTTCCCTGCGGTGGGCAACCAGGTGAACCTCACCTGCCAAGTGAAGAAGTTCTACCCCCAGAACCTACAGCTGACCTGGCTGGAGAACGGAAATGTGTCCCGGACAGAAACGACATTCCTCCTCCTAGAGAACAAGGACGGGACCTTTAACCGGACCAGCTGGCTAATGGTGAACTCCTGTGACCACCAGCAGAAAGTGGTGTTCACCTGCCAGGTGGAGCATGATGGGCAGCCGGCACTCAGCAAATCATACACCCTGGAGGTGTCTGCATCCCAGAAGGACCAGGGCTCAAATAAACAACCTGGTAAGTAAGGCGTGCAAATCTACCGATCTAGATCACCAGCTTTAGCTTACTTTTGATATTAAATATTATAAGATGTATTCGATATGCCAAACACAGTAACAACAAAAGTCTCCAATGGAGACATTACTGGGCCCACTCGAGCAAATCGATGAACAACAGGAGGACAGTGAAAGTGACAGTGACTGACTATACAGGCCTATACAAACCTTTGCCTCCATCATGCATTTCAAGAAGAACCACTAGGATGAGGTTGGTGTTAGCTTTTTGGCATAAGTAAACCTTAAGAAATAAAGGGGGGTGGCGCTGGAGCAATAGCACAATGGGTAGGGTATTTGCCTTGCACGTGGCCAACCCAGGTTCAATCCCCAGCATCCCATATGGTCCCTCAAGAACCTCCAGGAGTACCTCCTGAGTGCATGAGCCAGGACTAACCCCTGAGCATCACCAGATAGACTCAAAAAGCAAGAATTAAAATTAAATTAAATTAAAAAATAAAGTGGGGAGGGGCTGAGTTATACTTCAATGAGTAGCTCTTTGACTTACATTCAACTGATTCATGTTTGATCTGATAAAATCCAAATGGCACCCCCAAGATATCTAGGAGTGATCCTTAACTGGAGAGTCAGGTGTAAGGTGTGAGCACAGCCAGGTGTGGCTCCAAACATACAAACAACAATTAAAAAAAAAAAACAAAGAAATAAAGTGGGGAAGCAGGACAGTCATAATTCATGGGTCCAGACTCCCACTTGCTTTTCTTCACAGCAGTTCCCTTCACCATCCATCTCAGCTCACCTCCCTCCTTTTCTCTAACCCAGCTGAGACTTGATTCCATCCCAGAATTACATCTGTTTCATCTGTTTTGTAAGATGACCCGATGACACTTGGATCTTCTGTCTGTGCAGACACAGAGGAAACCCTGCCTAGTTGAGTTCCACTGGGCACCTGTGTGTGGTGATTGGAATCAAGGATTTTCTGTGTCCTTAGTTTGTAACAATGGACCTGCATTCATCACCGCCATTCTGCACAGTTACCATTAGAAATTATTTTCCACCTACAATCTCCTTTCTGCTTCAACCATTCCCTGAGTTTAAATTTTTACAGAAGAGATTTGGGGAGGAATGAGGAAAGGACATTTTAAGACTTCCTGCTTTAGACCAGGTGATCGGGCTAAAGTAATCCAAGTCACAAGAGTTCCTGAGGCAGGGACTGTAGCCTTGAAATCTAATGTGTGATCTTTGGATATGTGCTTCCCTGTGATGGCATTATTCAAGGGCTTGCAATGTCTGGTCATGTGAATAAATATATTTTGTTTCTCCCTCATGTAACCTGAGGCCAATTCAGTAAGGTTTTTGGGAGAACTGTCTGAAATACACACACACACACGCGCGCGCGCACACACACACACACACACACAAATACAAACACACAGTCCTATTTGTACACCGAGCTAGAAATGGAACCCATAGCTATGTTATCCTATATTGTTTTCCATTTTCATTGCAGTACCATAATTTACAATAAAGGTAAGGATATATTGCTCCATCACTCAATACCACGGTAGAAACTTTTTCCCAACAACTGGCCAAGAAATCCTTCCATCCACCTACTCTTTCCCTTACATAAGGACAGTTCTATGGATCAAGTCTTTATTAACTTTTTTTATAGAACATGCACAGTAATAAAAATTAATCTCCTCATTTAAAAAATTTAAACAATGTAAAATAGTGACCCATCAATCATTAATTTGTTTTGGTTTGGGGCCACATTCAACAATGCTCCTAACGTACCCTGAAGAAGCTCAGGAGACCATAGGAGGTGTCAGGATCAAACCTGGGTGGCTGTGAAAAAGACACGAGTAGATTCATAAGTGTATGAGGAAAGATGCTGAATAGAAGTAGATTTAGGGAGCCAATTAGATCTGGTTTACTTTGAGGAGCATCTTCTATTTACCTCAAAACTAAATGTTTCTACTACTTGGTTCATTCCTCCTCCACAGGATTGGAAAGGAGAAAGGCCTTCTATCACATTTCTAGGTAGAAACTAGGGGTATCAGTACCAGCCCTCTGTATAGGCCATTGGATCAGCTCCCTGGATCCCACTGTTGCACTGCTTCCATTGTAATCCCTCTAGAAATGCCTCCACAGACCTTGGGAAAGTTTCCAACAGTCATTCCCAACTCCAGAGGTTGGCTACACCCAACTGTTTCCATTGGGTTGACAAGTAGACATAAACCAGGTGTCAAGCACTGTGCTGGGTAGTTTCAAGTACGTTATAATTCATAACTCAAGAAAACCAGCTAGAGTTAAGCTCCTCTGTGTACACAGAGAATCCTATACTTTAGTACAGTTACTATTTTCTTGTTACATTTCAGGGACTGTTATTGTGGACTTCACATTTTTATCCTGATAGGCGATAAAGTTCCTTAATCACCTTGCTAAGGCCTGAGCACTGTGCTAGTGACTCTTTCAATAAGCAGATTACCTCAGTGTGAGCTCACTTTGTCTAACAATTTCTGTTTCCTTGTTCCGTCCTTTGCCGTGGGATTGCCTAAACGATGGAGCTCTTCCCTAGGATCTGTCTGCTCATAGGTCAGATCTTGAACCCTGTGCAGTTTCAGACCCACCCACTATGGAGACTTTTCAATCCCCCATGTTAGGGAACTCATTGAGAAGATTCACATTCTAGTCTGAGGATAAGATCAGTAGATTAAATAATGAATTTTGATATCTGACTATGCTTTCTCTCTCTCCACCCTCCTTCAATGAAGATAACCTTGGAAATTTAGCCTGTGAGTGATGAAATAAAGGAACCTCTTTTTTCTGGCTTTTGGATAACAACCACAAATTCTCAGAAGTGGTTACTTCTTCCTCTGTACTCAGGGATTACTCCTAGGGGTACTTGGATGATCATATGGAATTCCAGGAATAAAACCCAGGTTGGCTATATGCAAGGCAAGCATCATCCCCCCTGGACTATGGCTCTGGCCCCAATATAAGGGAACTCTTTACCTTGATTTTTAATTGATCCTGAACCAGAAGAGCAGTCAAGTTCAAAAGTTTCAGAATTTGTTGGGTTTTGCCATCACAAATGTAATTAGAGTTTCCTGAGAATTCACTTCTGTATAGTTCCTTTAAAGAAAGTCTTGTTGCTTGATTTCCAGGGCCACAGACAGACGTGTACAATCGCTCCCACATACACTTCCTCCTGGGCTTCCTCTTTGGTCTCAAGGTGCTGTTGGTGGTTGGTGTGTCTGCCATTTACCTCTACAAGAAGTTAAGCATCTGATTGTAAGTCGTGGAGGGAATGTTAGAGTAGAGATATCTCCATCAAGGGAAAAGTCAAAAGAAGGGGCCATCTTGCTAGTCACACATTGCCAGGTCCCATGTGAAGTTAAGAAACAACAACACACTGCCCTCAAATTTCTCAGGTGATGGTGAAGTTCTCTAATAGATTCTCAACATCCAAGAAAACGATGAGTCCTTGGAATAAGAGTGGGTTAAGTGTGTTCAGAGATAGACACAGAGTTCTAGTCAAAGGAAGAAAGGGATAAAAATAAGGAGCAGTGCATGAAGGGTATCAGAGACTTTTTCTAGAATATTTTGAGACAAGAAATTCTCACAGAGAATAATTATGGGAAATCCAATTTCAGATGCTGTGTTTAATCTTGATCCTCTTGAAACCTTTTCTGACAGGGTGGGAGTGATGAAGAATGGGGGCAAAACCTAGGAAACCATTGATGTGCAGAGCCCTCTCTCAAGAAATGCCCAAATATCCAGGAAAGGTACTTCAGAAGGAGAGCCACACCAGGACACCAGCACCAGAGGAGCATTCCTTGAATTAACAGATACTGAAGTATGAACTGTTTTACACAGCTATTTCCTAGAAATCCTGTTGTTACCACCTTAGTCTCTGCAACCACCTTCACTTTCTGAGTGGTGTGACCAAAAGAAGTTGGGATGAAAAGAAGCTTCAGAATCCATTTTAAATGCCTTCCCTCTCCTGAGACATCCACAAGACCCTGATACCCTCCTTCCATCCTGATGACCCTATTTTTTTTTTATTTCATCCACACTTTAGAACAATGTTCATGGGAGCAAACTCAGAGAATTGACTCCTGACCTCTCTCTAGAACATGAGCAAGAATCATTAGAATGTGAAAAACAAGACAAATCTTTTCATCTCCAAATATTGCCTATTCACTGCACTGGGGAGGCCCTGATCTATAGTCAAGAGTTATCTGATCTGGCTTCCCTCATCCTCAAACTTATTGGGGTTCCCTATTGACAATTAAGGATTAATTTTTATATTTATCATTATTTTATACCAATGATTTTTATTTTAATTTTTAAGTGACAATAAATATGCTTTATTTTGCATAATATGACTTTCACTGAGATCTTTAATCCATTTTGATCATACTTTTGAGTATGGCATTAGTAGAGGTCAGACTTCATTTTTATACATGTAGCTGTTCAGTTTTCCCAGCATCACTTGTGAAAGAGGTTTTCCTTGCTCCACTTCATATTTCTTGCTTCCTTGTCAAAGATGAGGTGATTGTATATTTTAAGGTCTGTGCCAGGAGTTCAACTCTGTTCCATTGGTCTACAGTTCTTTCTTTATTCCATTACCATTCTGTTTTAATCACTATCACTTTGTAGTAGAGTTTGAAGTGGGGGATAGTCATGCCACCATCTTTTTTCCCCCAAGGATTGCTTTACCTGTTCGTGGGTGTTTATTTTTCCATATGAATTTCAGGAGTGTTTGATAAATTTCTTACAAAAATGTCATGGGTATCCTTAGAAGGACAACATTGAACCTGTATAGTGCTTTGTGGTGTATTGCCATTTGGACGATGTTAATTCTCCCAATTCATGAGCAGAGGATGTGTTTCCATTTTCTGTCTTTTTAATTTCTTGAAGTAATGTTTCTTAGTTTTCTTTGTACAGTCTCTTTAACTCCTTAATTAAGATGTCTCTGAGGTACTTGAGTTCCTGTGCCACTTTGTGAACGGGATTGTTTCTTTAATATCACTTTCTTCTCATTCACTGTTTGCATATAGGAAAGCCATAGACTTTTGGGTATTGATTTTGTAACCTGCCACTCCACTATACAAGTCTATTGTTTCTAGGAACATTTTGGTAGAGATTTTAGGGTTCTCTAAGTATAGTATTCTGTCATCTTCAAATAGGGAGAGTTTGACCTCTTCCTTTCTTATATGATATCCTTTATATCCTTTTCTTCCATAACTGCTATGTCAAGTACTTCCAGTACTGTGTGTTTTCAAAAGGTCTGGCGGTACTCTATCTCTCCTGCCACCCATGTTCGGTAGTCTCGAGTCATTTCCCCCCACCTCGGCGAGGTCGATGGCAATGGGCAGGCGAAGGAACGAGCGAGGGCCAGGCTGGCCGATATCAATTGTAGTTTATTCCAATCTTCACTCTCACCTCTGACTCTGCCCTCTGGAGCCTGAGCTCCCGAGCCCGAGCCTCAGCCTGAGCCTCAGTCTCTGCTCTCTTGAGCCCCAAGCCCCCTTAGATCTTACAGTCTTAGTTTATATAGCAATCACGTAGGGTGGTGGCAAAAAAGTGGGTTGCATTAACAAATCAGCAAAGAGAGGTAAGATCACTCCTCGAGGAGATTAACTCAAGGATAAAATCTCATCTAAAGAGATTATTCCAGATTACTAGGAGATCTGCTCAAGGGTGGGATCCCAACAAGGGTGTGTTCTTTCCTCAGATAGTAATCTACTTAAATAGTTGTAGTAAGTCTACTTCCAATATTTCTAGCAATGTCATTCTGTATGAGCAAAGTATGAGATAAACTTACAGTTTGGTTCTTCCTGAGGACATCTCTCTCTCTCTCTCTCTCTCTCTCTCTCTCTCTCTCTATATATATATATATATATATATATATATATACAGTCCTCAGGCCAGGTTAGTCTTCCTAGCCCCAGCAGGGTCCTAGTCTTGTTACTTACTTTTGGATCATGACAGCATTTGTCCATGATCATGCCCGCAACTTGTAGTTGAGTATCGTGGCACTTTGGCCTGGCCCATTTCAATGCCAGGGTAGCTCACAGCTTTCCTTGTGTCCATTCAGTCCCTTGTCGGGATCCTGTTTTGGGGGTACTAGGAACTAAGGGCAACTGAGTCAATAAAGCAGATGCCCAGGAGTAAGTATTATTCAGAGTCAATCAACTCCCAACTTACAAAGCATAATATTAACTGTCTTTCTGTGTTCATACATAAAGGACATTGTTTTAAGGTAAACTATGCAAAGGACATAACTTACAATACAAGTTCAGTGTCCTAAGAAGGATCTGATGTTACAAGCTAACAGAATCTGATTAGGGAGAAAAGGTGATTAACTGGCTGGGGAGGAGAGCACAGAGAAGAGTTTACAGATAAACAGAGGAATGGGAGTGACTAGGGAGCACTGTGATGGGTGTAACCAATAAGATCCCTGTGGCAATGTTATCCTACACAGTACTATATTGAATAGAAGTGGTGATAGCAGGCAACCTTGTCTTGTCCCCAATCTTAGAGGGAAGGCTTTTAGTTTTTTCCCCATAGATAATAAAGCTCGAAGAGCCTGGCAAGCCACCCGTGGCCTATTCAATATGCCAAACACAGTAACAACAAGTCTCAAAACAAATGGAGATGTTACTGGGCCTGCTCAAGGAAATCAATGAACAACGGGAGGACAGTGACAATAAAGCTTGCTGAGGGTTTGCAGTAAATGACTTTGAGTGTATTGAAGTAGTTCCTCCAAATCCATTTTGTTGAGAGTTTTTAACTTGAATGGGTGCTGGATATTGTCAAAAACTTTTTCTGCATCATATGATATGATCATTTCTCTCTTTTTTTCCCCTTGATATGGCATATTATATTGATTGACTTGCGAATGTTAAACCATCCTTACATCCTTGGGATAAATCCTACTTGGTCATGGTGTATTTTCTTTTTGATGAATCACTGGACTCTATTTGCTAGTATTTTGTTGGTGATCTTTGTATCCGTGTTCATCAGGGATATTGGTTTGAAATTTTCTTTTATTGTGGGGTCTCTGTCAGCTTTGGGTATCAGGATGATTTTTGCCTAATAAAAACTGTATGGAGTGTTTCTGTTTCTTCAATTTCCTGGAAAAGCTTGAAAATGATTAACAATGGGCTCTCTTTAAAGGTTTGAAAGAATTCACCAGTGAATCCATCTGGGTCTGGACTTTTTTGGGAGGAAGACTTTTGATTACCATTTCAATTTCCTCAATGTTGTTCAGGTATTCCAAATCATCGCGGTCCAGCTTGGGAGGGTATAAGAATCCAGGAATTTGTCCTTTTCTTCAAGGTACTCTTGTTTAATGCTGGAAAGACTTTCAAAGTAATCTCTGATAATCCTGTGAATTTCTTCAGTGTATGTTGTTATGTTCCCTTTGCAATTCTGGTATGGTTTATTAGATTCCTCTCTGTGTGTTTCTTTGTGAGTCTAACTAGTGGTTTATCCATCTTGTTTATTTTCTCAAAGAGAAAGCTCTTGGTTTCATTGATCTTTTGGATTGTTTTCTAGGTTTCCAGCTCATTGATTTCGGCTTTATATTTTATTATTTCCTTCCTCCTGTTTGGTATGGGCTCCTTTTGTTGGTTATTTTTGAAGATTTTAAGCTGTGAGGTAAAGTTATTGATGTGGGTCCTTTCTTCTTTCCTGATGAACACTTGCAGATCTATCAATTTTCCTCTTGATACTGCTTTTACTGTATTTCCCAAGTTCTAGTAGCTTGTGTCTTCATTCTCATTTGTCAACAGAAATCTTTCAGTTTCCTCTTTGATTTCCTCTGACCCATTTGTTATTCAACATTAAGCTGTCTAATTTCCAGATCTTTAATTAGATTCTCTATTTCTGTGTGTGATTCACTTCTATTTTCAGTGCATATGATCTGAAAAGATGGCTGATATAATTTCTATCATCTTAATTTATGGAGGTATGTTTTGTGGCCCATCACATGGTCTTTCTTGGAGAATGTCCTATGTACAATGGAAAATAATGTGTCTTAAGCTTCTGAGGGATGAAATAACTACACAAGTCCTCAATGAAGAATTGGAATATTTATTGTGAATAGATATCAGGGTTCTTCACATCTAATCCAAGTACCCCAAAATGTAACTACACATTATTATTCATCACAGAGGGATCTCTCTGGAATGGATCGTATATGAGGACAAATAGACAAGTCACAGAAACAGAAATGCTCTTCAATCTCTTTTCAGATCATAGTGTTATAAAGGGACAAATTAACCACAAAAAGAGAGCAAGAAGAAATTTAAATGTTTGGAAAATAGCATTATCGAATAATTCCCGGATCAAAGAGGATTTCAAAGACAATTAAAAATTCCTCAAAATGAGTGACAATAACAGCACAAGCTAGCCTAACCTAATGAACACACTACTCTTCTAGTAGAGGAAAGTTCTTATCAATACTTTTGTTTATCAGGGAAAAGAAGCTAACGAGAAACAATCTAACCTCACACTCCAATAAACTAGAAAAATAACAATATATAAAATCCAACTTAAGCACAAGAATAAATAAGAAAAACCTTGACTAGAAATTAATTATGTAAAAGATAAAGAACTAATACAAAAGGCTAATCCAACCAGGATCCAATCTGTCAAAAAAAAAAAAAGAAATTTGTTTTCTGACTAAACAAACAATCTCACAAGAGACCCACAGCTGCAGAGATGACCCCAGATACCATGCCAGGCTGAACTTCATTTGGGACAATTGGATGGGGTGGGAGAGTACCTTCCACCATCCTAAACAGAAACCCGGCAGCTGAAAACCTCCAGAACCCAATCGCCACCATACTTAAGGCCAATCTCCACAGGCTTCATTTGAGACCCTCACACATAACAATGAATCTGCTGAAAACCTCAGGTGTGCAGCTTATGTGACCTACAGACTCTTGTGGAATTGTGAATGGGCAACCTCAACCCATATTCCTGTTTTCCCAGAGCCCACAAACCACCTACAGTGCCATTTAAACTCATTAATGGCCATGATCCAGAGACTCATAAATAAATCTCTCAAGAGAGTGACAAGTTGTATCACCCTATCTAAAATCTCAGATTCCTGGAGTTTTTATACATTACTCCACATGACAGGCTTGAGTGGTGGTGGATAATTAAGGCAGTGGGAAGGTAGTAATTGGCGGGATTGGTGTTGGAATACTGAATTGGTAAATCATTGTGAACTACTTTATTGAAGGACTGGAGCGATAGCACAGCAGGTAGGGCGTTTGCCTTGCACACGGCTGACCCAGGTTCGATTTCTCCATCTCTCTCAGAGAGCCTGGAAAGCTACCAAGAGTATCCCACCCGCACAGCAAAGCCTGGCAAGCTACCCATGACGTATTCGATATGCAAAAAACAGTAATCACAAGTCTCACAATGGAGACGTTACTGGTGCCAGCTCAAGCAAATTGATGAACAACGGGAGGACAGTGCTACAGGACAGTGCTACAGTGCTACTTTATTGAAATAAAATAAAACTGGGCATAAAAATTTTTCCTAGACAAAAACAAGTCACTCCCATTATTCAGTTCAGAAATGAAAAAATTTCTTAAGAAAAATTGATATCATAGAAACGTGATTTCACAAGAAATTTTCTGCCATAAAATTGGAAAACATTTAAGAATTGAAAAGTGTTCAAAATCTTATTTTTTTATTGTTCATACATGGCTGATCTGTGAAAACATAAACAATTTTCTGCCATGAAATTGAAAAACATTTAAGAATTGAAAAGTGTTCAAAATCTTTTTTTTTATTGTTCATACATGGCTGATCTGTGCTGCAATGTAAGGCTTATCTTAGATAAGTCAAAGAAGCGGATTGAGTGGACAGAACAACAGGGACTTAGTGATTAGAACTGTCGCTGGTGGACTTGGTTCATCACTGAGGAAAAGGTCCTGTATGTGCTCCATTGTGGCCCAACTTCCTTGTATGAGAAAGCAGACCCGTAGGAAAATGTTTGTCCTGAACTGCCAAGGCATGAAGTAATGGAGGAGCAAGGCTCAGAATAGTCCTTATAAGAAAGAATAATTATGCTTAGAGTCAAAGTTTTATGTCCCCTTCCCCAACCAACAATGACTGTTGTTCCTCATTCTGGTTTCCTGATGGAAAGCAACAAACAACTTTCTACAAGGACAGATGGGTTCTCAGTCCGGGAAACTTTTAGCCCCCAACACCACACCTTTTACTCTCATTTCTGTTTTGCTTATTAATCCATGGTGGCACTCATTCTTCAACCTTGTTCACCTGAGCTGGTCCCAGGCCCCCTGAGGATCCTACTGATGGGAACAAGAAGACTCTAACCAAAGGGAGAAACTGAAACTACACCAGAGGGCCCAGAATTGAAGAATTTACATACAACTTCCTTATATGAGAAAGCAGACCCATTGAATTTCTCCCACTTGAAGAGAAATTGCTGATGATCATGAAACTGGGGATTTGTTAATCAGGGTTGCACTGGGCAAGTACTTCCCAGCAGAAGGAGCATATTCAACACCTAAGGGAGCTACTGAACCTCCAGGGAGAAGGCAAAGAGAAGAACTTTTAACAATTGTTCCAAGCTCTTCACCTATATTGATACTGGCTACCGAGAGTATTCCGCCCACATGGCAGATCCTGGCAAGCTTCCCAAGACGTATTCAATATGCCAAAAACAATAACAACAAGTCTCACAATGGAGATGTTACTGGTGCCCCCTCAAGCAAATCGATGAACAACAGAAGTGAGTGCTAAACCCTTTGGAAAGAGTAGAGTGAGAACAACAGACAAGTGATAGCTCAGTAGAGGAAGACACACACAGGGAGCTGCCATCCCAATGTCTGGTCCGTCTGCAACCTGCTGCCTCTGACCTTGGAGAAAATGAAGCACTTGCTGTTTTTGATCAGAAAAACTTTCCCCCCAGAAATTCTCATGGTTCTTCCTATACCACCGGTTTGGAACACTGGAATATTAGAGTCAGGTTGCACTGTTACATCAACACTAAATGTTGCCGGTGACATTAATAAATGGTTGGAATAGGGAGGCTTTTCAGAAGCTGTATGAGTCTATCCCAAAGTTGTTGGGGGGTCCTCTAAATCCTCTTCAAATCTGAACTATGCCTGCTGGTGCAGAATGTAACCTTAAGCGCATCACAGTCAGGATCCCGAAGCTTGAGGGTCTGGGACAAAACTCACAGCCAGACATCAATCTTGACCTGGGAGCTCCTGATTGTGAAAATCTCCATGAAGACTCCAAGATGGATAAAAGTTCAAGTGGAGACAGCAGGGGACCAAAGGTGAGGAGGAAGCATTATCTGTAATAGGCTTGAGCAAATCTCACTGAGAACACTTGGTTGAAACTTCTCAGGATCAACCCTTTTCTCTGCCTGACTCCTCTTTCACAATGACAAAGCAGGAAATGCTTAGATGTAGAGCAATTACTGTCTTGAAGTCATTTTACTGGTGAGAGTCACTTCCTCTCATGTCAGGGAAGGAGGGACTTTTCTGCACCAGGCAGATTTGGTCAAGCCAGAAAAAAAAACACTCAACACTGCAGACTTCTTGGGTCGGTGGAATGCCAGTCCTGGACTTCTGGTTCTACTTTTATCCTGCCCACCTGCAGCTGACTCTACTGCTGGGACTCTCAGGTAAGCAACTTCTAATGTAGTCCCCATTATCAAAGTTCTCTGTGGATGTTTAAGTCTTTATTAAACTCACAGGAAGGTCATGAACTGGTTGTTATCTCAGATAGAAAGGAAGGGTCAGAATTGTTTCTCTGTGAACCCATTGCCTGCAGTTTTTAACACTGATGGTGAAAAAGATAATGCAACTAAAATAACATGACAGTTTTGTGTGTGTTACCTTCTGTAATCCTACACCATTTCTTTCAAATGCTATGACCACTGACTATGATTTGCAGATGGTGAGTGGAAGTAAGTTTTGCACTGACACACACTTAAGTCAGTAAGTAGATCAGTCAAGAATCAAGTCCAGGTAGTGAAGATTCAGATCTTGTTTGAATTTAGATCATCTTTTTATTCTCTTTAGCTTTCAGAGGAAAGCAGAAGAATTAGAAAATACAGGAAGAAAAGAAGAACAATAGATACCACCATAATTGAGATCCCCAAAGATCACAGTTAGCTCTGAATATTCACATACTTTTGTTCCTACATTTTATTGTTTACTTATTTATATATACTAACTTCTTCACTTTTGTGGGGATGTACTTTGTCCACACCTGGCAGTGCTTAGAGCTTATTTTAGGCTCTAAGTTCACAAATCATTTCTGGCTGTATTTTGGGACCCTTTGTAGTGTCAGAGATCAAATCAGGGTTGGTTTCATGCAAGGCCAGTGACTTAGTCCTGGTACTATAATTCCACTTTAATATATAGGGATTTTTTCAAAGTAAAGAACATTAATTTGGGGGACTGGAGCGATAGCACAGTGGGAAGGGCGTTTGCCTTGCAAACAGCCAACATGGCCGACCCAGGTTCGATTCCCAGCATCCCATATGGTCCCCCGAGCACTTCCTGAGTGCATGAGCCAGGAGTAACCCCTGAGCATCGCCGGGTGTGACCCAAAAAGCAAAAAAAAAAGAACATTAGTTTCACATTTTAACTGAAATAACTCATACAATTGTTCAAAAGACACAGGAGTCTATATTGCTGTAGAGAACAGAAAGTTTCTTACTGAGCTCTGAATTTCAGTGGCTACTTTCTTTATATCCCCCAAAAAACTTTGTTTCCTAACTTGACGTTCCCTTTCCTTCCCTCCTTCCCCTTCCCCTTCCCTTTGCTTCTCCTTCACTTCCTCTTCCCCATCCCTTTCCCCTTCTTCCTTCCCACTTCCCCTCCCCTTTCCCTGACCTCTCCATCCTCTACAAAACTAAGGACTGAAAACAGAGTCTCACACACCACAGGCCAACGCTCTACTAGAACTCTGTCCCTGAGCCTCTACTAAAGTAGTTCTCAGTTTACATGAAAAGAGGTTTACTTGCTCCTCTCTCTGTTTCCTTACCTCATATTCTGCTTTTCTAAATTTACTCATCCCTTTCCACAATTTAATATGTGCAAAATTTTTTTACATTTCCATTTGCAGTTCATTTCCATAATTATTATTAAAAACAATTTTGTATCTATAGTGACATCCTCTTATGTCACTTGAAGCTTCACCACCACAGGAAATACAATGTTGATACATGTTCACATTCTTGAACATTCACGAATTGCCGATTGGAAATGCCACAGTATTCTCTCCTAGAATGATGATCTCTGAAATAAACAACATTATCCCCCCTAACCCACAGATGAAAAAAGGGAGGAGGAACATAGGGGTTCAAGGTCACTTAAGGTAAAAGGAGACCTGTGACTTGAACTCAGGCAGTCTGATTCTAGAGTTCACAGTTTAACTCTAACCCTTGTCAATACTCATCAGTCTACACAGATACTTTCAGCCCCTGTTATCTCTACAGCTGCTGCCCAAATGGGGGTGAAGAGTAGAGAAGAAAGCTCCTAGGTCTCTCTCCCTGTGGCCCTCTATTTCCTGCCCACATGCAAGCAGCATTTGTTTGGTACCAAATTATCTACTTGGGAAACAGTTTCTTATGCAATCACCACTAAAATTATCATTAAAATAAAACCCCAAGGATCAAGGAAGTGTCATATTGTTCACATTTGTAAACATGCAGTTATTTATTCATCGAACACAATGTATCAGGAATTGTTAAATAAATTGGGGTGTACAGGTGAATAATAGAGAGAAAATAGTTGCTTTTATAGAGTTATCTATTGGTGGGAAATAAGAATAAAGAGATACAATAGATAACTAAACTTATGTATAAGAAATTTGTTTGTTCTGTATAAGAACTGTGTGCTGTAAACAGGTAAAGGAACAAACATAATAACTTCTCATTACCTGTATTGTAAAGGAGAGAAAAGGGGAGAAGGAGAGGGAGAGACAAAGAGAGAGAGAGAGACAAAGAGAGAAACAGAGAGAGAAAGAAACATGAGATAAGGAAAGTGCCTGCCATAGAGACAGGCTGGTAACGGGAGCACAGGGGCAGGAAGGAAACTGGGGAAGGACATTGGTAGTGGGAACTGTGCACTGGTGGAGGGATGGGTTTGGAATATTGATGACTGAAACGTGACCATGAATGCTTTGTAATTGTCCATCTCATGGTGATTTAATTAAAAAGTAAATAATTTTTAAACTTTTTATTGAAATACTGTGAGATAGACTCAATAAATTAATATTTAAAATGTAATTTGTGGTGGAAAATGGGCACTGGTGGAGGGATGGGTATTTGATCATTGTATAATTGAAACCCAACCACAAAAATTTGTAAGTCTACAACTGTACCTCATGGTGTTTCACTAATAAAAATTAAATGAAAAAAAGTAATTTGTGAATTAAAAATGCAAATTACTATGGACAAAGTACTTAGGAGTAGAAGAGTAAGAAGGATGAGATGTGTTTTAAACAACAGTTTGAGATATATTATGGAAAAGGCAGATTTGAGAAAAGCTTAGAAGATTGTATAGGATGGACCATGGAGATTTGAGAAAATAGTCTATTACTTTAAGACAATTAGCTTTTGATAATTGTCACAACAGTTTTATGACACCAACATATACTGATCATGCAATTTAAAAGGTATAAATCTCAGGGACTTGGAACCATGTTCAGCTTCCTATAAATATCTATATGTATTTTAGAATTTACACCTTCCTCCAAGTACTCTGGCTGAGGGCAGACACCAGAGAAGAAGAGAAATATTGATTTACTGAGGCCCTGATATTTCAGGGATATCTCATTGGCACCACCATTCCTCTGCTCACACTCATTAGTCTCATGGTTCCTAAGAATGCAAAGAAAAAGTCCAACATTCCCCGAGGCCAGACAGTGGAGGAACAGGAGAGTTGCTAATTCCAGACAATCCAGGGAAAGCTCCTAAACTACCCTCTATGCCATGTCCTTAAGCTCCTGGTTCCTACATTCCTCCTTTGCAGCACACTCACACTCGGAGGTTCATGGTGAGGCAATATAAGATTTACACCATGTGCTGAACTCATCATGCTGAACACTCAGTCACTGGTGTAGGTTGCTAACAGAGAGTTAGGAAAACCTACAGACTAACAAGGATGAGGGAAGAGCTGCTTATGTTTCTCTCAGGAGTGACTGGGCAGGATGTGGAGCTGCAGGTGATCCAGCCTGACAAGTTCGTGTCAGTAGCTGAGGGAGAGACGGCCACTCTGCGTTGCTCTGTGACCTCCCTGCTTCCAGTGGGCCAAGTGGTATGGTTCCTGGAGAAAGTGGGTGGCCGGCGGGAGATCTACAACTTCGGTGGCAAAGGCCACGACCCCCGAGTGACCAGTACTTCAGATACCACCAAGAGAGACAACTTAGACTATTCCATTCGCATCCGTGACATCAGCCCGGCTGACATGGGCATCTACTATTGCGTGAAGTTCCAGAAGGGGAATGTGGAAGATGTGGAGTTCAAGTCTGGTTCAGGCACCCGGGTCACCGTAAAAGGTGAGTGCTCTAGGGGTCAGTTGTCCTGCTTGTGACCACGGTCAGTCAGGCCAACCTTGCTTCCGAGAGCAAGAACTTAGGCCAGGTGAGGAGCTGGTGCTTGTCCTTGGATTGGCTTCACAGTCCATTTTGCCTGCCTTTAGAGATCAAAGATGTTGAAGTTACTGAGTCCTGCATTTTTATCTGAGGAGAACACTCTGCAGGCTGTCTCGATGAATCAATTTTGATTCAATAAAAAAAAGAGTAAAAGAGTCATAATAGATAACTAAACTGATATATAAGAAAGTGATTGTTCTGGACATGAACTGTGTGCTGAAAACAAGGAGCAAACATAATACCTCTCATTGTCTGTAATGTAAACCATAAAAGGATAGAGAGAGAGAGAGACAGACAGACAGACAGACAGACAGATAGAGAGGCAGACAGAGAGAGACAGAGACCAAGAGCCAGAGAGAGAGAAGAGAGAAGGAATGTGTCTATCATAGAGAGAGGCTGGGAAGCAGGGGCAGAGGGGCAGGTGGGAAATTAGGGAAGGACATTTGTGGTGGGAAATGTGGACTGGTGGAGGGATGGGTGTTGGAATGTTTTATGACGGAACCATGACCATGAACAGCTTTGTAATTGTATCTCATGGTGATTCAATTAAAAATAGAATAAATAATTTTTAGACTTTTTTATTGAATCACTGTGACATAGACCCAGTAAATAAATTTTTAAAAATAATTTGTTATACAAAACATACAAATGTAAATATTTATTTATATATAGAAACATACTTATTTATATAAATGTACTTCAGACAAAATACTTGGGGGTAAAAGACTAAGAAGGATGAGATGTGTTTCAAACAACAGTTGATAGTTATGATGGAAAAGGCAGATTTGAGCAAAGCTCAGAAGTCTGTACAGAATGGACCATGAGGATTTCTGGGGTGGGAAAGTGAGAGGCAATAGGGGCTGGAGCGATAGCACAGCGGGTAGGGCGTTTGCCTTACATGTGGCCAACCTGGTTTTGATTTCCAGAATTCCATATGGTCCCCTGAGCATAGCCAGGGGTAATTCCTGAGTGCAGAGCTAGGAATAACCCCTGTGCATTGCTGGGTGTGACCCAAAAAGCAAGCAAGCAAGCAAGCAAGCAAGCAAGCAAGCAAGAAAGAAAGAAAGAAAGAAAGAAAGAAAGAAAGAAAGAGACTTTGGTACATTTACACAATGGAGTACTATGCAGCTGTTAGAAAAGACAAAGTCATGAAATTTACATACAAGTTCTACTACATGGAAAGTATCATGTTAAATGAAATGACTCAGAAAGAGAGGGATAGACATAGAAATATTGCATTCATCTGGGGAACATAAAGTAACAAAATAGGAGACTAACACCCAAGAGTGGCCGAAATTGGTACCAGGAGGTTCACTCTATGACTTGGAGGCCAGTCGCATATGCTAGGGGAAAAGACAGCTCAGACAAAAAAGGGAGGGCAAAGTTAAGGGTGTTGGGAGGATCCTCCCAGGATGGATGGGAGAAGCATGCTGAAAGTAGACTATAGACCAAACATGATGGTCACCCATTGCCTCTTTTGCAAACCACAACACCCAATAAGAGAGAGAGAAAAAAAGGGAATGCCCTGCCACAGAGGCAGGGTGGGATGGGGGGAATGGGGGGTGGGAGGGATACTGGGATCCATGGTGGTGGGAAATGGGCACTGGTGGAGGGATGGGTATTTGATCATTGTATAATTGAAACCCAAGCACAAAAATGTGTAAGTCTGCAACTGTACACCATGATGTCTCACTAATAAAAATTTTTAAAAACAAAGAGAGAGAGAGAGAGGGAATAACATCTGCAAGGACCCTAAGAAGAAATTTTTCCTGTTATGCTCAAGAATTTGATTTTGCTTTGATATTGCTCATTTGTTTTTGCAGTGTTAAAAAAATGAGGTTGACAATGCAAGGTTTTGCAGAGAGAAGACACTTGTTCCAAGATGAGTATGAAATTATTCTGCATTTAACTGAGAATGGACTAGACAAGACATAGAAACAACTAGAGAATTTCAGAAGTCAATGAGTTTATGCACACAGAACAAGTTGACGGCGACAAGTCAGTAGTTGGTAAAGACAAAGTGAAGAGCTCGGCTCTGGCACGCGTGCTGATGAGGAGTCAACAGGATTTCCTGGTGCACAGTGCTGGAGTGGGAGAGAAAAACCCAAGGGCTTGCTATCTGAGATCTGGGAGAATCAAGCTGATAGTGAGAACATGAGAGGAAATGAGAAATTCAGGTTGGAGATGTTAACTGTGTGATGTTTACTTCCAACTAAGAATCAAGGCCCAGGAGATTCGTACCCAAAGTCCCGATTTGGGGGGAAAGGTCTGGCCTAGAGTGTGAATGTGAGAATTATGAATACACAGAGGGCAGAGTTTCTCCATTGCCTGGTTTCTGTCAACCTTCTGGTTTCTCTTCTTCCCTCTCTCCACTATTCAATTTACTGATCTCTCCAAGGTTCAGTCATAATTATTCCCACTTTGTCACATAAACAGTCGCTTTTGTCACACAGCTTCCCATTGTCCAATCATCTTCTCTTATTTTTATGTTTAAAGTTTTGGGTTTGGGGCCACATTTGGTGATGTCCAGGCTCTGTACTCAGGGATCACTTCTGGGAATGCTCAGGGCACAATATGCAGTACCTGGGTATTGAACCATAGTCAGCAGAGGGCCTAGTACCCAGTACTATTTCTGCAGTCCCTAATCTTCTCCTAACTCAAATCCAAACTGACAGAGGTCCTGACCACAGTAACAAGCCTGGTGTGCCCTGTGAGAGCAGCACCCATTTAGGAGCCAGGCCGGTGACACATGTGCTAGGTGGGTGCACTTGACCAGCTCACACATACAGAGGGGAACCACAAATCTCTCCTCTTCAGCGTCTAAGAAACAGAAAAAGAACACGGAATTTACTCGTGGTCCAACAACAGTCTGATCCTCTGTTGCAGATCTGCTACCCGAATCATGAGATACTTCATATCAGAAGGAACATTTTTGTGTTTCTGTATGATTCCAGTTCATGCCTAGTCCTTGGGAAGGCAATCCAACTGGGAAGTCCTTCGCTTGGTATGAAAAATCATGGATGACTCACGGTCCCTCAACTCTTAAGCTATTTTGTCCAAGCAAAGCTAAGAACTCTGTTCTTTTCAAAACACAAATTTGAAGCTTGCTCTTTCTTGCTCTCTTGCCTGCCTGTTCTATCTCCACATTCAAATACCCATTTATGAGAAGTCTACCTTTCCCAGGTATCACACATGATATATTTTTTCCTTAAGTCATTTAGCCCAAACAGAAGACTAATAGCCTTCTTCTAGGACACACTTGCTATTGTGTTAATTATACATAACAAGAACTAGCCTGTTAAAGGTATAAAAGTTAGTGGTAATCCAGTACATTCAAATGGTGAAATCATCAGTACCACACCATTCTAGAACTTTCCAACAACCTAAACAGAAATTGTGTATCCCAAATAACTCCCCTTATCTTACCACTCCCAACCTTCAAGGGGCTTTATCGTCTATTACATTTTGCCCATTTTAGGTACTTCATATGTGTAGAAAAATATTTCTCTTTTTACATTTGATTTATTTCAATTAACATAGAATTTTAAGTTCATTTGTATTGTATTATAGTATTATAGGCTGGATCAGAATTTCATTAATGAGTAGGGATGAAAATATTCCATTTTGTATACATACCACATTATGTTCATTTATCTGTTGATAAAATATTCTATTATTTAAGGCAATAAGCTTTGGATAATTGTCACAGCAGAATTCTGATACCAATATATACTGATCAGGCAATTAAAAAAGCAGAAAAGCTCAGGGACTTGAAACCATATTCAACCAAATCTCCTGATGTATTTTAGAATTTATACCTTCCTCTCATTCAGTACTCTGGCTAAGGGGCAGACACCACCAGGAGCATCATCTGGGGAAGACGAGGGTGCATTTACTGAGACCCTGCCCGACTAGTGATATCCCAGGGGCACCTCCATCCCTTTGAGCACACTCTTTGATCAAAATAGTCTCATGGTTCCTCACAATACAAGGAAGAGAAAATCTAACACTCCCTGAAGATAGACAGTGGAGAAACAGGAGTGTTGGCTGAGGCCAGACATCCCAGAGAAGGCTTCTAAACTTCTCCCTCTGCCATGTCCTTAACCTTCTTGTTCCTTAGTTTCCTTATTTGCATCACACTCAAGCTGTGATGCAAGCTGATCATGGTGGGAAAAATATGTGAAGATTCAAACAATGTGCTGAACCCAAGGCCCATCAAGTTGAACACTCAGTCACTGGTGTTGGTTGCTACAGACTCTTGGAAAAACCGCTAGGCTGACAAGGATGTGTGAAGAGCTGCTTGTGTTTCCCTCAGGAGTGGTCAGTAGCTGCAGGTGAACCAGCCTGAGTCAGTGTGGGTGGCCCTGGGAGAGACCGCCACTCTGCACTGCTCCATGAACTCCGTGCGTCCTGAGGGCACTACCAAGTGGTTCCCAAGAGCTGGGAAGAGATCTATAACTTCAGAGGAGGCAGCCAACACCCACAAGTGCCCAATGCTTCAGATGCCACTGGGAGTGACAAGAAGGACTTTTCCATCCAATCTCTAACATAAGCCCAGTGGATGCAGGAACATACTACTGTGTGAGGTTTTGGAAATATAATGTTGACAAAGAGGTGAACACATCTGGGTCAGGCACCCGTGTCACAGTAAGTGATGAGTGCTCTTGGGGGCCCTTTGTCCTCTTATGTGACAACAGTCAGAAAGACCAGCCCTCATGAGAACAATTAAGGGCAGGTGAGGCTTTGGTATTCATTATTGGATGTGCGACAGTTTACTTCACCTGCCTTTGCAGATTGAGAACACCGAGGTCTCAGCAGTCCTGCAGTTTGCACCTGGGGGGAGCTCTCTGAAGTATCCCCTCAATGTGGAGCATCTTCTCTTTCCTCAGCACCCACTATGTGCCCAGCTCTGCTCTGAGTACAGTGGAAACAAGGGTTATCACAGTGACGAAAGATTCTTTTCCAAAATGATTAAATCCTCTTCTCTCCTATGAGGAGCCAGGCAAGAGAACAGGACTGCACTTCGTTTTGTTTGAGAAACATCACTGAGAACGCATCCCTAAAAGGCAGAGATTGTCGGCTCAGGCTGACAGTCACCATGGCTGCCCACTTTCAGGAGGGTTGTCAGGAAACCCTCCTATGATTCAGGGAAACTCACATAGTCACTGTAAGCTCTGAGAAGAGCAGGAGACCTTGGAAAGTCTCAGCCAGGGAAAATTCCTCAGTCAGGGCTGCCTGATGAGATGATGGGAAGTCATGAGACAATCTTCAGAGGTCTCAGTCTTCTCATCTCCAAAATGGCAATAATAACTGACTCCATTTAGGAGAGTTGAAAGGATCTGAGATGTCGTTGCCCAGAATCACAGAGTAGACCCAAACCAGGGGCTAGATGAAGGTTCTGTGAACCAGCTTCCTCCTGTGCATCAGTCTCCTTACACATAGAAGGTGACTAAAACCCACCAATCTTTCTGGGAAGGTCCGAGATGCAATGAGCCTAGTGAGAACAGATGGGTGTTGGGAACTAAGGGTTAAGTTAGACAGGATGAGGAAGGATCTTTGCGGGGCAGAAAAATGGGAACTTGTGTCAGAATGCTGGTGCGACCTTATGTGGAAAAGCACTGAGGCATGGTCCTGTATGTGCTCCATCTTGACCAAACTGCCTTGGTATGAGAAAACAGACCCACAGTAGCACTTATGAGAGTAACTGTGCTTGTAATGTGCTCCGCTTCACTCATGCCCCAGTGAATGTAGCTATGCAGTGAGGAGGGACCATCACTGACAGGAGGACCCTGACCCCGTGTGGAGTGACAGGTGGGAGGTCACAGACACAATCAGGCAGAGCAGGGATGTAGCCCAGGCAGGCGGCTCACCCAAGCTCCCCTCCAAGGCTCAGAATCTGTTCCCACGCTAAGAATGTTGTTCCCCAGTTCTGGATCCCGGTGTAAGGCAATAAATGTGATCCACAGGGAATGGATGCAGCTCACAGTCCAAAGGGCGCTAAGCCCTGTGACCCCGCTCTACTCTCATTTCTGTCTTGTTTCTTTATCCTCAGTGGCACTCTCTTCATGGGGTTGGTCCTCAGCAGATAAGCAGTTGTCCTGTCATCCCAAAGCTGTGAATGTCTCAGTGTCTGGAATCCTCAGTTTCCTCATCAGTGAAGTGGTGGCTTTAGTTCATAGAAAGTCCTATGGAAGCATCACTAGCGTCACTGAGCCCTGGAGGAGAGCCTGGGTGAGCCGCTCGCCTGGACTACATCCCTGCTCTGCCTGGTTGTGTCTGTGACCTCTCACCTGTTACTCCATACGGGGTCAGGGTCCTCCTGTCAGCGATGGTCCCTCCTCACTGCATAGCTACATGCACTGGGGTATGAGTGACGTGGAGCACATGAGCTGTGTTAGTTCAGGGAGCTTCCTGCCTGTCAGCGAGGATGAGCTGAAGACAAAGGACTTCAGGCAATCACTCTCCTCTTCGGATCTCAGATAGATGTGAGGTGAGGGTAGGAGGTACCTCCCGCCCCCAGCCCTGGCATCTCTTTACAACAATGTGGAAAACATTGAGTAGCTTCCCCACGTTCAGCTCCACCTGGATTCTGACTTTACTGGTCAAGTGTACCCTGAAATCTGACGTCCAGAGGCCGCTCATCACAGTCAGGGCAGAGTTCAAGAGCAAGTCCTGTCACTGCAGTCTCAGAAAAGGTTCAACCACTGAGGTTCCCATCCTTCATGGGGTCCTGCCTCCCACTTGCTTCTCCTTAGAGTGTTTCCCTTCACCATAAAGTCAACTCACCTCCACCTGTTCTCTAACCCTACTTAGTCGTGATTCCATCCCAAACTTTTCAACTATTTTATCTGTTTTGTAAGATCACCTGATGACACTTGAACCTTCTGTCTGTGCAGACAGAGGAAACCCTGCCTAGTTGAGTTTCACTGGTTACCTGTGTGTGGTGATTGGAATCAAGAATTTCCTGTGTCCTTAGTTTGTGACAATGTAACTGCATTTATCGCCACCGTACCACACATTTACCATTGGAAATTATTTCCCATCTACAATCTCCTTTCTGCTTCAATCATTCCCTGAGTTTAGACTTTTACAGAAGATACTTGAAGAACAATGAGGGAGGAGTGTTTTAAGACTTCCTGCTTTAGACCAGGTGATTGGGCCAAGGTAATCCAGGTCACCTGAGTTCCTGAGGCAGGGATTATTACCCTTAGGATAGAGAAGAGCTTCCCTATGGTGGCATTATTAAAGGACTTGCACTATCCGTTTATGTGAGCAAATACATCTTATATTTTCTTCATGCAACATGAGGCAAATCAACTCAGATTATTGGGAGAACTCTGCTCAAAGCACATAAACACACACACACACACACACACACACACACACACTTTCAAAAACCCAGCATCAATCCAGCATCTCCTCTAGTGTTGTCTTCTTCCTCTGGTCAGGGAAATGAGCAAATTTCCTTTAAAAATATGCTCATGGAAGTTATTTGGTTGTGTCCACAGGAGCACAGTTCTGTTTGTATATCCAGCTAAAATTGGAGCCCATAATTAAATTGTCCTATTATTTTTTTTCTTTTCAGTGCAGTACCATGAGCTAAAATGCAATTAATGATATATTTTTCCGGGCGTTCGCCTTACAAGCGGCCAACATGGCCGATCCGAGTTCGATTCCTCCGCCCCTCTCGGAGAGCCCGGCAAGCTACCGATATGCCAAACGGTATGCCAAACACAGTAACAACAAAGTCTCCAATGGAGACGTTACTGGGCCCGCTCGAGCAAATCGACGATCAACGGGAGGGCCTTTACCTTTACCTTTACCTTTTCCAACACCCACCACAGAAGTAGCTATTTTTTTCCACCAATGTCCCAAGGATCCCTTTCATCTACTTCCTTTTCCCCTACATAAGCCAGATCTATAGACAAACTCCTTACTCTATTAACTTTGTTTTATAGAACATTTATAAGATTAAAATTTAATTTCCTCATTTAAAAATTTTAAGCAATGTAAAACAGTGGCACACTGATCAATTTGTTTGTTTTTGTTTTGGGCTACATCTGACTATGCTCAGACTTACTCCTGGACTGAGCTCAGGAATCACTGCAGGTAGGGCTCAGGGGACCAAATGTGGGGCCAGTTTCAAACCTGAGCTGGCCATGTGAAAGGCAAGAGTGAATTCATAAGTGACTAAGAGAAAAGTGCTGGACAGAAATGCGTTTGAGTAGCTGAGGGGCTTAATTCATTCATTTTCTGAAGCATTTTCTGTTTATTTCAAAGCAAAATATTTCTACTGCTTGATTCATTGCTCCCTTACAGACCTGGAAAGGAGAAATGCCTGCTGTCCCATTTTTCAGGTAGAAACTAGGGGTACCAGTACAAGCCCTCTGGATAGACTACTGGATTAGCTTCCTGGAGCCCACTGTGGCACTGCTTCCCTTGCAATTCCTCTAGAAACGCCTCCTCTGACCTTGGGAAAGTTTCCAACAGTCATTACCAACTCAGGATGTTGGCTACACCCAAACTTTTCATTGTACACATAAACCAGGAATCAAGCACTCTGCTAGATACTTTCAAGTACTTTATAAATCACAACTCAATAAAATAAACTCTAATTAGGGCTGGAGCGATAGCACAGCGGTAGGGCGTTTGCCTTGCACGCAGCCAACATGGCCGACCCGAGTTCGATTCCTCTGCCCCTCTACGGGAACCCGGCAAGCTACCGAGAGTATCTCGCCCGCATGACAGAGCCTGGCAAGCTCCCCGTGACGTATTCGATATGCCAGACACAGTAACAACAAAGTCTCCAATGGAGACGTTACTGGGCCCGCTCGAGCAAATCGATGATCAACGGGAGGGCCTTTACTTTACTTTACTTAACACACTATATTACAACGTTAGTACAGTTACTATTTTCTTATTACATCTTTGAGGGGCTGTTATGCTGAACTTCACTTGCTTTTTTTTCTGATCGATTTTAACATTCCTTAATCACCATTCTAAGACCTGAGTACTGCACTAATGACTCTCAATAAGTAGATTCCCTCAGTGTGAGCTCATTCTGTTTAACAATTTCTTCTTCTTTTTTTTTTTCTTTTTGGATAGCACCCAGCGATGCTCAGGTGTTACTCCTGACTCTGCACTCAGGAATTACTCTGGGTGGTGCTTGGGGGACCATATGGGATGCTGGGCATTGAACTCTGGTCGGCTGCTTGCAAGGCAAACACGCTGTACTATTGCTCCAGCGACCTGTTTAACAATTTCTGTCTTTGGTAAGTTCTTTGCTGTGGGTTTAGCTAAAGAATGGAGCTTCTGCCCTGTGCCTTTCCAGTGCCCTTCACGTGCCATACCACCCATGTAAGGGAACCCATTGAGAAGACTCACTCCCTTGAGTCTGAGAATAAAGTCAGTAGATCAAACACCAAATTCTCCTCACTGACTATGCTATCTCTCCTCCCCTCTTTCAGTGAGGACAACCAAGAAGTCTGGAAAGAGCCAAAGGTGATTAAAGATTAGGAACTTCTTTACCTTGATTTCTCAATTTATCCTAAACTAGAGCAGCAGTCAAGCTCAAAAGCTTCAGAATGTTTAAGGGTCCTGGCATTACAGATGGAGAAAGCAGGTTGCCTCAGAATTGACTTCTGATGGTTCCTTTAAGAAATCTCTTGTTTCTTGATTTCCAGGCCCAGAGACAGACCTGCCCACTTCATCACACATATATTACTTCCTGGGCTGCGTCATTGGAACCAAAGTGCTGCTGGTTCTTGGTGTTTCTGCCATTTACATCTACAAGAAGTCAAGGATCTGACTGTAAGTGTGTGGCGGTGATGTAGGGATGGTAGACAAGCCAAGAGCTCTGCATGAAAGGCAAAGTCAGCAGACGGGGCCACCTGCACATCACACATGGCCAGGACCCTGGTGACAATAAGAAACATTAATACACTCCTCTCAAAATCCTTAGGAGGTGGTGAATTTTTCTAATAGATTCCCAAAATGTAAGAAGTATATGAGTCCTGGGAAATAAGCTGGGCTAATGGTGTTCAGAGATAGTCACAGAGTTGTAGGCGCAGGGAGAAGGGGGATAAATAAGATGAAAGTGCATGGAGGCTCTTTGGAGACCTTCTCTAGAATATTTGATCATGGGGACATGTGACAGAAGCAAATCTCATCTGGGAGTAATATTGAGAAATCCAGTAGCAGCTGCTCTGAGTAATCTTTGTTCTCTCTGAACCATTTGTTTCAGGGTACTGTGATGAAGAATGGGAGTCAAGACCTAGGAAACTGTTGATGTGCAGAACCCTCTCTCAATAGATGCCCTTATTCCCAGGAAAGGTACTTCAGAAGGAGACCAACACCACGACACACACGGGGACCTTTTCTTGAATAAACAAATATTGAAAAGTGAACTGTTTTCCACAGCTATTTTTTCAAAGCCTGCTGTTACCACCTCAATGTCTTTCTTTCCTTACTGGGTTTTGCAATCTAAAGAATATGGAAGGGAGTATGGTGCTGCCTGCAGGTCAATCTGTACCTGCAAGGTGAGTGCATCAGCAGCCTGATGGCGCCTTCAGACTTCCAGATATACCAAAATTGCTGCTGTGCCTTTAGCCAGACCCCAAAAACTTGGGGGCAAAGTTTACCAAGAAAGTAAACAGCCAAAAATGAGGTATGTGGGAGACACACCCACAAACCACCTCTGGCTCAGCTATATAATTAGAAACAAGGCCTCTCTGGTTCCTGATTGAACTGCTTAATGGCCATGATCCCGGAGACTTAGAAACAAATCTCAAAACCCAATGGCTTTTGGCTGAAATGCGTTCAGTCCCTGCAGTATGTTACAGGTGCTGGGCCACCCCAGGTGGGAATACATTTCGTGCCTTGGCCTATTCCCCTTGGCCACATGACATCATATGTTATTCATAACCAGCAATATAAAACAAATTGTCTACTATTGCCTTTTTGGCAGATCTGAGTGTTGGGGTAAAAGCCCAAATAATAATGGTGGGTCTGGTGTTGAAATATTGAATATAGTCAAAGTAGAGAAAGAGTAATGTAGAAATCATCTACCCCACAGGTAGTGTGAGGATGTGGGATGGGGGGTATACTGGGCTTTTTGGTGGTGGAAAATGGGCACTGGTGAAGGGGTATGTATTTCATTGTATGACCAAGACTTAAACCTGAAAGCTTTGTAACTACTCTCACAGTGATTCAATAAATAAAATTCTAAAAAAGGAAAAAATAAAAAATAAAATGAACATGACAATTAAAAGGAAAAAATAAAAGAAAATAAAGAAACTGGAAAGAACAGAAGCTTCCAGAATGTACTCCAGATGACTCCCCTCTCCTGAGACCTCCACAGGCTGACACCCTCCCTGATACCTTTCTTCCACCCTGATACACCCAGTTCTTGGACTTTATCCACAGTCTAGAGCAAGATTCATGAGAGCAATCTCAGAGATCGACTCTTGACATCACCCCTAGAATATGAGAAGCAATCATTCTAGAATATGAGAAACTAGGCAAATCTGTGCAATCCAGAATATTGCTCATCCACTGCTCTGGAGAAAATTCAACACTTGCTGTTCTTGATCAGAAAAACATCCCCCCAGAAGTCCTTATGGTTCTTCCTGTGCCATCTGTGTGGAACACTGGAATGTCAGAAACAGGAGTCCTCAGGTAGAGACCTGTGCTGGCCAGTCAACAAACTGGACAAGCTTGATCATCTCTTCACCATCAGACCACAGTGATATGAACCCAGAAATTTTAAAAACCTGGGTGATTTTGTATGTTTACTGGAACTATGTTGGGTCATAAGTCAACTGAAAGGTTTTTTGTTTGTATTGTTTCTTGTTTGGGGCCATCCTTTGCACTAGTCAGGGCTTACACTTTGGTGGCAGAGATTGAATCTATCTTATGAAAGGGAAATGCCCTACTTGCTGTTCTATAGGCTGAGCCTATAAAGAAACTGATTGCTGAGTCTACAAAGAAATTGAAGTTCACCCCCTGATCCCACCCTCTATAATCTCACTTCTTTCTTGTTTCTTAATCCTCATGGCCCATCTGCTTCGATCCTGTTCACCAGCACTCATCCCTAGCACACTGGCTGTGAGTTGTGTCCCAGACACAACCACATACTTGGTGGACATTCTAATTTTTCTACTTGGGTTATTACCCAAAAACAACTGCTACAGATGTTAATTCATCAGTTTTTGTATGGACTGTCATTGTCACTGTCACTGTCCTCCGTTGTTCATTGATTTGCTCGAGTGGGCCCAGAAATGTCTCCATTTTGAGACTTGTTTTGCTGTGTTTGGCATATTAAATACATCACAGGTAGCTTGCCAGGTTTTTGCCGTGCGGGTGAGATACTCTCGGTAGCTTGCAAGGCTCTCCGAGAGGGGTGGAGGAATCGAACCCAGCTCTGCTAGGCCGGCCGAGCACAAAGCAAACGACCTACTGCTATGATATTGCTCCAGCCCTTTGTATGGACATAAGGTTTTTTTTTTATAATTTTATTTATTGAATCACCGTGAGAGCAGTGATTACAAAGCTTTCGGATCTAAGTCTCGGTCATACAATGAAACACCCATACCTTCACCAGTGCCCATTCTCCACTACCAAAAACCCCAGTATACCCCCATCCCACACCCTCGCCCTACCTGTGGGGCAGATGATTTCCACATTACTCTCTCTCTACTTTTATCACATTCAATATTTTGACATCAAACCCACTATTATTATTTTTATTTGAGATTTTACTCCAACACTCAGATCTGCTGAAAAGGCAACAGTAGACAATTTGTGTTCTATTTCTGGTTATGAATAACATGATGTCGTGTGGCTGCAGTAGGGCCACGTGAATTTGAAATTCCAAATTTTTTTTAAACACCATGAGGTACAATTGTAGATTTACAATTTTTTGTGCTTGGGTTTAGATTATACAATGATCAAATACCCATCCCTCCACCAGTGCCCATTTTCCACCACCATGGATAATATCCCTCCCACCCCCATCCCTCCCATCCCACCCTGCCTCTGTGGCAGGGCGATCCCTTGTGTTCTCTCTCTCTCCTTTTGGGTGTTGTGGTCTGCAAAAGAGGCTTTGAGTGGCAAACATGTTCAGTCCATAGTCTACTTTCAACATGCATCTTCCCTCCTGGGAGGATCCTCCAAACATCCTTTATTTGGTGCTCCCTTATCTATCTGAGCTGCCCTTTCCCCTGGAATGCCCGGCTGGCCTCTAAGCTATGGAGTAATCCTCCTGGTGCTGATCTCAGCTATTCTTGAGTATTAATCTCGTATTTTGTTACTTTATATTCCCCAGATGAATGCAATCTTTCTATGTCTATCCCTCTCTTTCTGACTCATTTCACTTAGCATGATACTTTCCATGTTGTACCACTTGTACATAAATTTCATGACTTCATCTTTTCTAACAGCTACATAGTACTCCATTGTGTAGATGTACCAAAGTTTCTTTAACCAGTCATTTGTTCTTGGGCATTCAGGTTTCTTCCAGTTTCTGGCTATTGTAAAGAGTGCTGCAATGAACAAACAAGTGCAGATGTCACTTTGACTATACATTTTTGCCTCTCTGGGATATATTCCCAGGAGTGCTATTGCTGGGTCAAATGGGAGCTCAATTTCTAATTTTTTGAGCATCATCCATACTGTTTTCCAGAAGGGCTGAACCAATCAACATTCCCACCAACAGTGAAGGAGTGTCCCTTTCTCGCCGCATCCACACCAGCATCGGTTGCTTTTGTTCTTTTGGATGTGGGCCAGTCTCTGAGGTGTGAGATGGTATCTCATTGTGGTTTTGATCTGCATCTCCCTGATGATTAAAGACGTAGAGCATTTTCTCATGTGCTTTTTTGCCATTTGGGTTTCTTCTTTGAGAAAATTTCTGTTCATTTCATTGCCCATTTTTGATGGGGTTGGATGTTTTCTTCTTGTGGAGTTCAACCAGTATTTTGTATATCCTTGATATCAACCCCTTGTCAGATGTGTATTCGGCAAATATCCTTTCCCATTCTGTAGACTTTCTTTGTATTTTGGTCACTGTTTCTTTTGAGGTGCAGAAACTTCTTAATTTAAGATAGTCCCATTTATCTATCTCTGTTTTCACTTGCTCGGCCAGTGGCGTGGCATCTTTGAAAATACCATTAGCTTCAATGTCATGGAGGGTTTTGCCAACTTTGTCTTCAATGTACCTTATGGTTTCTGGTCTGATGTTGAGGTCTTTAATCCATTTTGATCTTACTTTTGTACATGGTGTTAGGCAGAGTTCTGAGCCCACTTTTTTGCATGTAGCCATCCAGTTCTGCCAGCACACTTTGTTAAAGAGGCTTTCCTCACTCCATTTCACAGTACTTGCACCTTTATCAAAGATTAGATGATCATATGATTGAGGGGAGATGTCAGTGTATTCAACCCTATTCCACTGGTCTGCAGTTCTGCCTTTGTTCCAGTACCATGCTGTTTTGATTACTAATGCTTTGTAGTAGAGTTTGAAGTTAGGGAGGTTGATTCCTCCCATTTTCTTTTTCCCAAGAATTGCTTTAGCTATTCGTGGGAGCTTATTGCTCCATATAAATTTCAGGAGTGTTTGCTCCATTTCTTTGAAGAATGTCATGGGTATCCTTATAGGGATTGCATTGAATTTATACAATGCTTTTGGTAGTATTGCCATTTTGACAATGTTAAGTCTCCCGACCCATGACCAGGGGATATCTTTCCATTTCCTCAATGGACATAAGGTTTTAATTCTTGGAGATAAAAGCCTGTGACTCTAATTGCTGAGACACAAAACACATGTTCTTTGGCCTATATCACTACATTACTAGCCCGGGTTCAGACTCTCAGACTCATATCATTTAGAGAAACACCCATATTGCACTCTTGCATCAATACTAAAACTCGCCAGTGACATTAATAAATGGTTGGAATAGGGAGGCTTTTCAGAAACCATATGACTCTATCCCAAAGTTGTGCAGGTCCTCTAAATCCTCTTCATATCTGTTGAACCATGCCTGCTGGTGCAGAATGCAACCATAAAGTCATCACAATCAGGAGCCCTAAGCTTGGCAGTCTGGGACACAAGTCAAAGCCAGACAATACTCTAGAACTGGGAGCTTCTGAGTGTGAAATCATCATGAAGATTCCAAAATGTATGAAAGTCCAAATGGAGACAACAGGGGACCCAAGGTGAGGAGGAAGCATCTCTAATAGGCTTGAGAAAGTCTCACTGAGAACACATGATGTGTAACTTCTCAGCTATAACACATTCCCTTCTCTGCCTGATTCCTCTTTCACAATGAAGAAGGAGGAAATGCCTAGATATAGAGCATGTTACTCTCTTGCT